GTAAAGGGTTGCCTGCCTATGGCAGGCATTAACACCAAAGCTTGTGAATGCCATTACTTGAAAACATGTAAGACCTTCAAATTGATACCAAAGGTGCATCTACTAAAAATCTTGAACAAGTTTTAATCTTAGTGACCTTGACTTCAAGGCCAGAAAAAGTTTTCTGAAAACTTTGTGAATGCAGTAACTTGGAAACAATGTGACGTAGGATTTTGAAGTTGATACTGAACGGTAGCAGACTGGCTGCATGCTAACTATCCTTGTGCAGGACACTAACCCAGAGGGTTATGAATGTGTATAGATGTTAGCTTAAAAAAAGTGCTTTTGTGAATGGGGTGAACGAGGCATGTTGTAAAAAGCACTTTGAGTACTCACGGAGAGTAGAAAAACACCACATAAAAACCAGTATATTTACCAGTGATATATTTTATTTTCATATAGACAGTACAGCACACACAGAAAGTCAAGTAGTAAATGGGATTTAAGAAACTATTGCTCTAGTCCTTGAAGCTACGTCTTGATTGACAACTGACTTGAAAGGATTTCTACTTCCTGCTATCTTGATTGAATTGCCAGCTCTAACCATTAGTTCTACAAAAAATGACCATCTTGACCACCTTGCTTTCAAAAGTGTTAGTGTTTCTGCCTGCCATGTGCATTATAGATTTCTGAGCCAAACCCAGGGTTTTGTGTGCACAACAGCTCGACTTTAATCTGTAACATATACAGTTGAGGCCAAAATTATTAGCCCCCCAGGGATCATGGAACATTTTCCTAAACTTCTTCCCTTCTTCCCAAGTTTGCAACATTGATGAAACTTGATATAATCAAACATTCACCAGCGCTATTTACTAGCTTTTGGTACATTTTGTAATATAAAATAATTTTTTAGTCTTGCTTTATATCAAATATAGTAATGGTAAATGGCCTGTATTTGTATAGCGCTTTACTAGTCCCTAAGGACCCCAAAGCGCTTTACACAGGGCTCTAGAGTGCGACCAATTTGGTCGCAAATGCGACTCATTTTTGCCCTTTCTTATTTCAACTCAGGATATTTTATTGATACATTAACTACAATTAGTGGAACTTGTTATTTTGGACACAGATACGCTTTAAAAAACAAACACTTGTTGTCATTTTCATATTGAAATCAGGAGTGTTGCCTAATTTCATAAAGGGGGCTAATAATTTTGGCCTTAACTGTAAGGGCTCTAGACTAACCTTTTTCTGTGGTTGCACTGGTGTGCCAAACTTGTTTTCTTAGGTGCACCAGCACAAAAGTTAGGTACACCCAAATTTTTCACCCGAATCATTGAACCCCACTGTTTTACATGTTCACTTTTTATTTTATTTTATTTTTTAAATTACTGTCCATACAGACAATATTGATTTTTAAATTATTAACCAATAATCTTGTCAACACAAAGTTCTTTATTTGGAGCACAGTTCTACAAGAAAGATAAGTTACTGAAAAAGTGCTTGTGGTTAAAGTGCTTTAGCACTCTTTGGCAATATTGTAGACAATGTTAAACTTAATTATCATCTTGGCCTCCTGACGACCTGTTTGCTGCTGCCTGCCGCTGAAAGGCAGTGGGGAGAGGGGACACTTGGGCAGTGCATTTATCGCGGCGTATAATGTGTTTTTTGAATACACTGTGCTTTTTCAGCGTTCAGAGGTTGATGGCCCCCTTTTAGAGCACTGGCTATGAATTTCAGATGTATCAGGCCTTTACGAAAAAGTTATCAATCGTTCTTTTCATATTTTCTCATTACCCACAGCTACATACACAGGCTACTCACTAGGGCTGTGTATCGTCACTGATTTCTATAATCCATTCGATTCCGATTCACAAGGTCCTGATTCAATTTGATTCGATTCAGTTTTGCTCACACGGACAGAAATATTATAATTCTGATCATTGATCGGGACTGATACATGTGAGACTTCATCAGAGGTGTAAGCTTCACAGCAGATGCCTTTGTGTCAAAGTAACTGAGGATAAAACACAGAAAAACATGAAGGAGATTTACCTGGCCTGGCTTTTTATAGCAGATAATCGCCTTAAAAATATTCTGCAGTAGAAAAAAACGGAAGAAAACCACAAATCAACATATGAACATTACACAATAGTGCTGAAGTGAAGCAGAGCAAAGTTAGAGGTTTTTATTAGAAACACAGCCAAGCATTTTGCAATTTGGCATAATTTAAAAAAGTTAACATTTCTTTGCTATTACACAGCAGAAATGAGGCTTTCTTGTCGGAGGTTATTTTTGGAAAACAAAAAACAAAACAAAAAAACAGCGACAGCACCGTACATGCCTTGTGTGTAATAACCGAATGAACAATGCAGAAAACAGATTTGAGATCGGAAACTGTTCTTGAAGTATACTGAGAGAGCTGTGCAGGAAATGTGATTTTATCGTGGTGGAAGCAAAACAGCAAAAGTATGAGGGAATTCATGACAGTGTTTATCAAATGTGAAGCATAGTTTTGATGTTCTTTGACTGTTGGTTCAGTCAATTTTGGTTGGAGAGAGACAAAACCTGCAGTTTCAGAATCTAGCACAAAAAAA